TTTCATTCTCCATACAATCAATAATTATTTAACCAAATTTCGCAATGAATGAATTTTCAAGCTTTTTGAATTTTTCCACATAATCTCTTCGCAATGAATGAATTTTCAAGCTTTTGGAATTTTTCCACATAATCCATGTTATATATTGTGTCATTAAGGTATATTTGTCAAGACAAAACTATTTCGGTATCCTGGGAAAATAAAAAATGTTGCTCCCGAAGCTTGAGATTTAGGTCAAAAATGTTCACTACGCTATAAGTTTTGCCGATTCCCAATAAACAACTTCTTATCGAAAGTCTTCTGGCATTTTATACAACAATGTGTAGTGTTGACTCTTGTTGGTGACTTCGTATGTCATTTTTCCCTCTCCATCTTCGTTTCCTCAAGTTATACCCATATCCAGATGTATGGGCGTGTGTATCTCTTTTGTAGTTGCATAAGTGCATTCATTGCGAGCCGGATGAAGCCAACAAGCAGAAATACATATCGCTCGGGTTATCTATCCTATTTTCTGCTCGAATCCACTTTCCTTCTTTTTGCAGAATTTGCTCATTATTTTTCTATATATATTGAGCCGTGGTCATTCTCTCTCTCTCTATCATTGATATGCCATTAGGGACGCAACAAGAAATGCAAAGTGTACTATTTTAGCTTAGAACTAAAGCTTTCAATAGTGTGTGCTATCATCTTCAAGAGCTAAAAACAAATTTAAAAAATAGCAACCACAAACAATTAAGTGGTATTTTATTCCCTACTAAGTCGGCGAGATTGTTGCTGAACTGTTATTAGAAGAAAGTGAACAAAGAACAATTCAGCAGCAATCTCGCCGACATAGGGCTGTATCGTCAGTCGTTCCTACAATTGCAGGACGCCTTTGTGGACTCCTTGATTTCCATAATATCATGTCTCCTTAAGTAAGGTACTTGAGTATACTGTTTTAGATTTCTGGCGTGTCGACAATTCTGATAATAGATTATGTTTTTATTTTGACGTTTAAGAAATTTTAGACAGATTAATCAAATATAGAAGCATATTTCTTGCTGATAATGTTGATCAGTCAGTCAATAATAATTTCCTACATTGAATAAATTCCTCAAGCTGTGGTATCTTCAAATCCTATATCTGGTATTAATGATATGAAAATGAACAATTTAATGCAAATGGAAGTGTATTTTAACCCCAACAGCTTACAAACAAGCTGTTCCCTTGATGGTCGTAGGTAAGTAACAAAATTAATCATTGCATATTCATATTTATTTAAATACTTATCGCATTTTTTTCAGAGGTGATTCATTCTCACAGACTTTATGAGATGTTGGTTGATAAACATTGTAGTGCAACTGCATTGTTGATGACTGAGATGCCTGTTCACAAATCATTGTTGGACTTCGGATTATGTAGAGTGTCAAGCTATAGGTATGTATAATGTTCAAATATTGAGTTTAAACGAGATCTCCTGCCCTCTCTGATATTTTTTTATATTACTGGAAATCTTAACCTAAAAATTTGATACTATAACTCTAAAAATTATTATTATAAGGTTGCAGCCCACACCAAGGTGTGAAATTTTTCATGTTTCTTGAATTGATGCATCTTATTTGCAGATATAAACCATCCTGATATTGCATACTAAACTCAGTAAAATTCCATTTCTATTTTGGAAGGATAGCGCGGTGAATGATCTTCCTAAGAAGGGATTTATGTATCCAGGCACTTGAAAGCGTATTTGAAGCAGCCAATCTTACAGAAGGAAAACGCGAGTTTGCTTTTTGTGACTGATATGTGTTACGATACGGCCCTCCATGAATAAGAAACATTATATGACAAGTGCAATTGCATTGTTTATGTCACAAATGCTTTTTCTCAAATCATGGTAGATTGTGTAGAGTGTCAGACTACACGTATGTATACTGTGTGTATGTGAAGATAATAATTAGATCATAATTACTATTGACCATCGCTATTTCAGGATGTTCAACATACCATATTCGTGTAGGATTACCAAAAATGGAGTATTACAGAGAGTAAACAGAGAAATAGAGTTGCAGCATGAAGTAAAATCATAAGAACTTTATGACATAAAATTCCATAATTAATTACAAATGGTAATCACTTTTCTGTAAAAAAAATCTAAACATTTCAAAGAACTAGATAAGCGGAAAAGACCCATTATTTTGAAAATGGTAGGTACCTCAAAGTCAGACTAGGTTAAGCCCTAATAAGTAGTTTTAAGATAATTGCATTGTAGTCATAATTCTTTTGTCCTTACACGTAGATAGATGCTGCAAGTATCAAATTAAGATGCACAACATTATCATGAACTTAACATGTAAAGACTCATTTTAGGCAAAAACGAACTAACTAATCTGATTCTGAGGTACAAAATTTGACTTGTATTTAAACTGCTGAATATAAATTTTGGATTTAAATTGTTATCAATAATGGAGACTCTAGCTACTGAGTATACTCAAAAAATACATCAGTGGCACCATCAGTAATAAGGAGATCGATGCAGTGCAGAACAATATGTTGTATTTATCAAATATGTTGTAGCATGTGGTATATGAAAAACAAGTAAGAAAACTTGAACACACTTTCTTCTCCAATTAGTTTGTTAATTCACTTGGATTCTTAACCTAAAAGGAAAAATCTATTAAAACTGTTGCATAGGAGTGGTCATTTTCTATTTGAGAAACAAATATCAAAAACTGAACAAGTTTGATATTTGAAACACTCATATCAAAAGCAGAGTTTACTAGTTATGATAGACAGTAAAAAAATGTGCAAAAATATGAAATCTTTGGCTCAAAAGTCTGCATTTATCTCTTGCAGTATTAGTAGCTGCAATTTAGTGTGTTTCCTGATTGAATCTAAGGGAGTGGTTTTAGGTTTTCGAGATGTTTTAACTTAATCGTTGATTATGAATATCTGTAATACCACTTAATGATATCTGACATATATGTATCCTTGTCAAGAAGCATTTTTTTAATTTCACCTGCCTATTTTGATAGGTAGAGTGATGGTATGCCGTTGATTTCGCTCTTACTGAAATCATTTGAATGTCTTACAATCTGATGCACGGTTTTCCTAAAAATTAAAACTGTTTCTCTACTCGATCATAACAATGTTATTAACATGACAATATCACCATGCAGAGAAATTTTTGTTTATCATGGGTCGGGCATAAAAAGATAGTTTTTAAATTATTTTAGTCTGACGCACGATTTTCACCTGAAAAATACAGTTTATTAATCGACATGGTGACATTGTCACACTAACGATATTAGGATCGAGAAAAGATACGTTATTTTATTTTTTATACCGTTTGCGTCTGAGTGAAAAAAATTAAACAATCAAATTTGCTTAGAAATGACTGAGGATTTCAAGAGCAGTTTTTATTTTAATAGAAATCAGTTGCGTACTATCATTGTCTGCCAAAATAGGCACGTAAAATCGGTTTGAACGTTACTGGTGGAAATTAACAGAAAATTTGTACATTAAAAATACCTCTCGGTAGTATATATATATATATATGCCGATATATGCCGAATTTTCAAACAGTATTTAAAGTGGTATTAGAGATCTTGACAAATAATTATTGATTTTTGAATATGGATATTCAGTTGAAAAACACCCTATATATTTTATTTAAGTAAATCTAAAATTATTTAAGGTTATTCTAACACACTATTGTAGCTTCTATTGTTTCAAATATGCTTGCAAGTGCCTGGATGCATAAATCCCTTCTTAGGAAAACCATTCACCTCTTTATCCTTCCAAACTAGAAATGGAATTTGACTGAATTTTGTATGCAACATCGGGATCTGCAAAAAAGATGCATCAATTCGAGAAAAATTAAAAATTTTAATTATTCTTGGAGTTATAGTATCAAATGATTACGTCAAGGTTCCCACTAATATAAAAAACAATATCAGATAGGGCAGGAGATCACGTTTACACTCAATTTCAGAGCATTTGTACATTATACATACTTGTAGCCTGACACTCTACATAATCCAAAGTCCAACGATGAGTTATAAACAGGCATCTCAGACATCTCATAAAGTCTGTCAGAATGAACACATCTGAAAAAATGCAATAAGTACTTATATAAATGAATATGCAAATATGCAATAATGCAAACAGCTCGGTTGTAAGCTGATGGGCTTTTTTATGTAAATACACATCCATTTGCATTACATTGTTTATTGTTGATTTTCAAATCATTAATACCAGATATGGGATTTGAAGATACCACAGCTGGAGTAATTTCTTTAATGTAGGGAATTATTATTGACTGATCAACGTTATTTGCAAGAAATATGCTTCTGTTTTTGATTAGTCTGTCGAAAATTGTTTAAACATCAAAATAAAAACATAACCTATTCATAGAATTGTCGACACGTCAGAAATCAAAAGCAGCACGCAAGCAATTTACTGAAGGAGACATGATATTATGGCCTCCTTGATTTGCATAGTCTTTTCTCCCCTTCAGAAAGGGTGGAGTATTTCTAGACTACTACTATTCCGTATCAGCGTCAGCGCTCTCCTATTGTGAAGTTATATTTTCTTTTTGAATTGCAGTAAACTTCAGGCTGATAAAACAGATGATATAAATCAAAAGCATGAACAATTTCATGCAAACAGATATTTGTGACATAAGTTCAAAATGGAGCGATGTCATGGAACAGTAGAGAACTATGAAAATCAAGGAGGCCATACAGGCGTCCTACAACCGTAGGAACGACTGACGATACGGCCCTTAGTAAGTAATAAAACATCACTTAATTGTTTATGGTTGCTATTTTTTAAATTTGTTTTTAGCTCCTGACTATGGTAGCATAGACTATCGAAAGCTTGAGTGTTAAATTAAAAGAGTACACTTTGCAATTTTTTGTCGAGTTCCCAAAGGTATATCAAGGATATTTTTTCCGTGCTAGTTACGATAGTGACTATCCAATATATCAAATATACACAAATAAGTTCACCATGTAACTAACCTGAATGCGCTGCTCCATAGGACTCCGTAACTCCTGCACCATAGCCTCCTGCTCCCAAATCCAAAGTCTGGATGGTAAATCCAGAACCTGCAGCCATCTCACCTAGACCAGCATGGAAACCTCCTGCTCTACCTCCTCCAACTGCCAAATCGATGGGAATGGTCGTACTGCTCTCGTACGAGTAGGTTTTGTTGAAGGAAACATGGTGAGCGCCAGCTGGATACCGCCTCCAGACACCTTGTTCATCGTAGTACCCGCCGGAAGCGGTGCTGCCAGCAGCGTAGTGGCGGGAAGATGCTGTTGTGGCACTAATACCTCCTGGAACAAAATCAAAATATGAGATAACTTCATATAAACAGTGGTTCGGAAGTTCCCCGATTCCATCATACTCTAAACTGTATGGACTATTCTCACCGGAAGAAACTGATGACAGCAGCTCGTCAAATTCGAATGCAAGTATTCACACCAAAGCGACGAAAACTCTATCGGTGGTCTGACTATTGCTGACATTGCCTTCGTTAGTCGCTTTGGAGTTGCCTAACCGTTGATGAAATGTGTCATACTAGCATACCGATCGTATTCTCAAAAATAAATTGACAATCCGATAAAGTACTTCTCCTTTGCTGGGTTGTCTTTTTTGAAGTGATCCATTTGGAGCGGCAATATAGAAAACTTTCCAGGAGAGCTAAAGTTAATGCAAGAGGCGAGATAAGCAAGTTAACAGTGTGCGAGTGATTCCACTGAAATGGAAATAAGACATCCAATTTTTTTACCCCAGAACAACCTATGAAAATGAATGAAAATACCCAAAAACACTTAAGCTTGCCTTCTCTTGGTCCACCCCCAACTTCATAAGCGTGCTCTTCCCTTGCCCTTGTCTCTTCTTCTCTCCTTCTAACTTCTTCATAGTACTTCCTCATTGCTTCTTCATACTGTCTTCTCCTTTCGTCATCTTCTTCTTGCCTAATACTTTCTTCTTCAGTTTTCTCCGTAGCACTCACTCCAGATTGCTGCCTCCTCTTCACCTAGACAAAGTGGATAAAACAATTTATAAAAAAAGAAGCAAATACTCAAAACCCTTACAAGAAGAAATACAAAACGATACCACTGTCACTTTCAACAATAAATTATTACCTCTTCTTCATAGGCATTTCTTTCGTCTTCAGTTTGCCAGGAAGTTTTCACGCCAAACTTGCTCGGTTGCCTTCTGCTTTCTTCATATATTCGCCTTTCATCTTCAGTTTGCCGCCATGTTTGGCTAACTGTTGACTGATGCCTTCGTCTAGCCTCTTCTTCATACCTTCATTTGAAACAGTCAGGAATCACAAAAAATGCCAATGACAAATATTACCATTGATTAACGTGTTTACATACTTAATTGTCATTTTAAAGAAAATTGTTTATTCTTAAACATGACACCAAGTTTCAAGTGAATAACAGTTTCTCAAGGATGGAAAAGGAAAACCCATAGCCTGTGACGAAAGTCGGAGAGATGACAACACTAGCACCTAAGCCTGGTGGTCGACACGTATATATTTGTAAGCATAAGTGGTTGGCGGTGCCACGATACGATATAATCGTTTTTGCGCTGGCCTGGCTTTGAATTGAGTTAAATATCTTCTGGTGAAATATGATATTGATATTATAACGTTGAAAGAACGAGTGAACTTATTTGAAGACAATTGTAATAATCAGCAGTCTCAATTATTCTCCAAGAGTTCACAAAAAACAGTTTGAAGATTGGATGTGAAAATGTTTTTGGCCCAGATCCTAGCCCTGATCTCACCTTCTACGTTCTTCCTCAAGTTGCTGCCTTTTCAGCGCTTCCTCTCTCAACCTTCTTTGTTCCTGTTCGTCTTTCTGCTTTCTCAATGTCTCCTCCCTCAGCCTTCTTTGCTCTTCTTCTTCCTTCTGTCTCCTCAACATTTCTTCCCTCAACCTCCTCTGCTCTTCCTCATCTTTCTGCCTTCTCAATGCCTCTTCTCTTAATCTCCTCTCTTCTTGAGCCACATGAATCCCTCTACTGCTCTCAAGCCGCCTTCTTTCTTCTTCTTCTTTTTCCTGCCTCCTTCTTGACTCCTCTAATCGTATCCTTTGGTCTTCTTCCTGCTGTTGCTGTTTCCTGTGCAGCTCTTGACGTCGCAGGACTTCTTGTCGTTCATTTTCGATTCGGAGTCGTTCTTGTTGTTCGTTGAAACGTTCTTCTTCTTGCCTTCTACGTTCTATGTCTGCTAAAAAGGTAAAGATATGTTATAACTATTCTATCAACAGGATAAGTTACACAGGTTCTATAATCTAAATGTTGGTTTACCATGAATAGCTTACCAGTAGAGGAATAGGCAGGCCTCAATGTAGACCCATAGGTGACCGCATCATCAGAATCCGAAGTATACGTCCTTATCACATTCCCTTGATGATCCCTGACTGTTGTAACATTATGCCACTCGGTAACAGGCTTGCCATCCACCCATCTGGTGTTATACTGCGACTCGACAAGGACATATTCCCCAGCGGCATTGATGGTCCCGAGATTGACCATGGGTCCCCCCTGGTCGATTCTGGAACCGCTGTGGAGGTAATCAGTGTTGTCGTAGTTCATGAACGTCCTGAGCACGTTCCCGTGGGCATCTTTGATGGTGGTTCTATTCTCCCATCTGCTGTAGGGCACGCCATCGCGGTAAGTTGTGATCAGTCGGGACTCGGTTGTTTCGATCTCGCCGCGTGGGTTGATACGGCCTGAGCTGCTGAAACTGCTTGTTTGGTTGTGCCGAACCTGAATCAAAAAGAATATATACAGTGTATCCAAATATACTCAGTGGCATTAGAAGTGTTACACCCAGAAAAAAATAATTTCCTCAACTTGATTTTTTGGAAATGATGTAGTCTTACATCAAGAATTATACGATAACATTCTCACGAAATTTTATTGAGAAGGAACAAGTAAAATCAATTAATAATGTGTTGGGCGACCCCGCACGGGTATTATGTAAAAAACCTATGAAATGTCAAAAAAACCTATATGTCATCTTCAGACTAGGTAGTTTTTAGGGCGCAAAGAGTCATTCCACGTTTGCTCACTAGAATCGTTGTGAACATCTATCTATGGAGGAATCACCCAACTAAACTACAGGCATTATTGGTTGCATATGTTTTGTGAGGCCGAGTGGTCCGTGTCTGAAGTTTTTATCAGGGGGATGAAACTCATATGGGCGAATGCGGAAACGAAGCAGTGTTGCTGGTGTACAATATGACAACCATGCCGCACCCTCAAAAAATGGCGGCTTATTCGCAACTGACGTTGTTTGATTGGTCAGATTTAAATATCCGGCGGGTTTCTTCCTGTGCTCTGTGCCTATGCTGTGATTTGCAAAAATACCTTAGTTTTTTCAGCATCTCATTTTCGTAACATTTCACTTTACATCAAGTCTCTATTACGTTATTTGAGACATATGCCTTTTGTTCGGAGTTGTGAAGTATAACAATGTAAGTACACAATGCTGTAATATATTTGTAAATACTATAAAATAAACTACAAATCAAAACTGTTTTTCCAAGTAATTATAGTGAGCTTTAAATATCAACCTGATGCTTTGAGAATAGCTGATTTGAAATGAAGTATGGAAACTAACTTGGACAAAAAGCACGACATATCATCACTCACTATTGAGTCATATAAGAACTTACAAATGTTATGGTCTGCAAATATCCTTCAGAGCTGTGCCTTTTGGTTAGATCACAAGTAATCTCCGCACTTCTGATAATGAGAATCTGGCTACTGACTGCAATGAAATCAAAGCCACATGTTGTTATTGAACAATAACATGGGTGCCCACAGGGCAGTGTCAAGCAGCCATGGTCTCCCCTGGGGATCCGCTTTGACTTTAGAATTTGCATATCTAGCATGCTTTTCTGTACAAATTTGAGAATTTTTTAGGATTCATCCCCCCCTGAGAAAATTGCTACCACTGCTCAGCTAAAAATTATAGGGGTAGGTACAATTTCACAAAAAGTTATCCCTTGATGATGATCAGCACCCCTGAGAAAAATTTATGTAGGTACCCATGGACAATAATATCATTGTTCTAATAAAAAAAGAAAAATGTGAATTGTAGTAACATCTCAACAGAATTCAATTTTTTCCTAATTTTTGATTTATGCAGGTGCCCACAAACGCTTTGAAATGAAAACATCTGGTATTTAGGTATTTGTAGTGTATGTTTTTCTTCTGAACCTTTCCAAATTAATAGTAGATATGATTGATCTTATAACAGCTTGTGTTATCGACGTTACTATTTTAATATATCAGGCAACCAAATAAGTTCGTGCGGTTGCTGTACATCGCACATTGCCATGGATGTTGTTGATCGATAGCGATTGTTTGTTACCTGTTATCACTTTAGTATGAATCCTTTTTTTTTCACACACATAAAAAGTTGCTGAAAATTGTAACATACCTAGTTTTAATAATTGAAAATGGCGACGAATAAAACAGTAATTCGAAGTTGTTTACTGTACGAGTACAAACTTGGTAGAAAGGCTGCACCGGAGATGATGATGTTGGTGATCGAACAGCACAGAAATGGTTCAACAAATTTTCTTCGGGAGATCTCAGTTTGAGCAATGAACCGCGATCAGGGAGACCAAAAATCATGAACAACGAGGATCTTCGACAGGTTGTGGACGGAAATTCAAGGACAACATTTCAAGAACTTGCAGAAATGTTCAGAGTAAGTCCTGAAACTATTCGTTTGCATCTTCATCAGCTAGGACAGACGTGGAAGTCACGCAAATGGATCCCAGATGAACTGACAAATGATAACAAATTAAGTCGTCTTACCATTTGTTCAGCAAACATTTCACGCAACGCTAATGAACAATTTCTTAATCGGTTATTAACCTGCGACGAAAAATGGATTTTGTATTCGAATTCCACGCGTTTGTATCATTGGTTGTCGCCTACTGATTCGGTTCCACACACGCCGAAGGCTTCCTTGTACCCAAACAAGGTTTTGTTGTGTGTTTGGTGGACAGCAACTGGAATTGTCCATTATGAGTTTTTGGAAAGGGGTCAAACCATCGCTGCTAACTTTTATTGTGAGCAGCTTCAACGAGAACAAGCAGCACTCATCCAGAAACAAGTGATATTCTTGCAGGATAGCGCCAAGCCTCATACCGCAAAAGTGACCCGAGGAAAAATTTCTGAACTCTGATGGGAAACGTTACCGCACCCGCCATATTATCCGGACATTTCGCCCAGTGATTATCACCTTTTTTGCCTCTTGACAACTGTATGAGGCACCTACAGTTCACAACTCGAGATGGTGTAATAAATGCAGAACGCCCAATTTTTTGACTCCAAATCCAGGGAGTTCTACAATACCGGCATACAAAAATTGGTTCCACGTTGGCAAAAGGTCATTGAGTGTTATGGTAATTACTTCGACGAATAAATAGCGTCTTATTGTTTCTCAATAAAAATTTATATTTCTCCACTAAAAACCGCACGAACTTATTTGGTTACTCATACAAAAAGGCACTTATTCATCAAAATTTTAATAACACATGCTGTTATAAGATCTCCCATATCCCACCAAATTTCTATATATAAAAGTATAGTAATCTCAGATTTATATGTAGAGCTGGCTCCGTAACTAATTTCTAGCTTTCTATCTTCTCAACTAAGTGTGTTTGAGACAAGAACCCAATGCAATTGTCATCATTGCAGCTTAGAGCTCCAGCAATGCCACCTCTGAAGCAGATTTTACATCATATCAGAGCCAAACATTGATAACTGAAGCCTCATGACATTTAGGCAACACGTACAACTAAGTGCTAAGTTAACATCTTGTAGAAAAACCTACACAATGTCAAAAAAAAACAGTATAATGTCAAAAAATATAACGTCACTTTTCAAGATACATGATACCCGTGCCGCAGCGGAATACACTCCTGTTACGTCTAGTCATCGACAAAATGAGATGATCGATGTATGGTAACCTGAATGTTATACGTAATCGTATGTTTTTGATCCCACAGATGAGAGTTGCAAATTTTTTCGTTGGGGAATGACCTTAATCGTGACACTAAAGGCCATTTGGAGCTTCGATTGAAGATTAAAGTGAAACTATATATTGTGGCACACGTGGAAATGACGGAAGATTTTATGTTTAGATGTGACCTTGACCTTGTAATTAGTTGACCTCTATTTCATCTTTGGATTATGATCAAGGTCATTTCAGCCCGTACAATTTTCATCTGAAGGTTCAAAAGTCATCCTAATGACCTTGAAGGTCATTTTGAAGGTCACGATCAAGATGTCTTGATCGTTTGTCCAATATATTGTATTTCCTGAGATGAGGGGATATATGAAAAGCTTTTAAACACAATGCGTAATGTGCATGATAAGCCAGCTGGTGGTTATTTATTTACCTCAAAAATTCCAGAAGAATCTCCTGTCGGAACTCCACCCACGTTCTTGTTGATCACCCCCACACCACTAGAAACTCCTCTTCCAAATTCACTGGTCTGTTTTTCTGCAGACCAGAATTGCTCAATACCGGATATATCTATCTTCAGCCTGTCCCAAACTTCACGTGCTCTAATGTAATCAAGCTAAAAAATAATAAAGAACATTTTGTTTAAGAATTTTTACGAGGGCCATTTTTTAAGTAAGAGCCATTTTTGTATTGGAGTTATTTATAAAAGTTTGTTGTATCACAAAGTCAAATATGAATATTTATTCATTTTTCAACGCCTTTAAACATTTGTCAATTTGTGGCACCAGATTTTGGATCCCGTCGTCAAACTTGACCGTCAAACCAGTTTCTTTCAACATGTCACCAACTGCTGTGCAACAAAATATTCCTCAAGGTTAGGAAACAGATGAAAGTCAGATGGTGCTAAGTCAGGGATGTATGGAGGGCAATGCAGTAATTCCCAACGAAACTTGTCCTTTTGCTGTGTTCTAGTCGCAAGATGAGCCTAACGTTACCGAGAAGCAGATTGACGTCATTAGATAGCAGGTCCCGCCTGCGGTTTTAAGTAACTTCAGTAATTTTTCACAGCACCTCTCAACACTTATAGCAGGACAAACTTTTTTGCGTTCAAAAACCGAATTACTGAGCGCACCTCACCATCTGCGGGCTTACTGTTTGACATGGCGACAACCAAGGCAGTATAATCACGCAACCAACACCAAATTGTTCGGACGTCACATGGCAGGATGAGCGAGTACGATGCGCAATTAGTTCTTACTTTTAAAATAACCCTCGTATATGCATATTGTATCAGCTTTTAAATTGTAATTTTCTCGGCTTCATAAATATGTTTTAGACAACCTTATAAGCTATTTAATTCTACATTCAACACATCTTGATGTTTCACCAATGTAGCCTTTACCGGAGTCACACTATATTTTGTATATTGGTTTTTTCTGTCTAATTTTCATTAATAGGTTTTGTGTGACACAGTAGGGATCTCGGTATGTTAGTTATTTTGAAGACAGTGCTGATATTGATGTTTTTGCAAAAACCCCGACGTCACTCAGAATTTTAAGCATATATGGTTTTGATTCGGCCAAACAAGCATCGGAGATTAACCAGACTGAAAAATGTACAAGTAGCTGAAAACAAAATTCGTCTTTCGAAGTACGCAAAGTGTCAACATCGAATTATGGTTGCTGATGATTCCATTACGCATATTTCGATGACTTGGATACGGAATGATTCCATAATGTGTACAAACATCCAGTTTAAGGATTAAAGACCTTAAAAATTGCGCGACAAGGTCTGTAAGTGGATAGATGTGTAAACAACTTACATAGTATTGCCTGTAATTGACGGCTGGTACAAAGTCACACTTCAAATTTCCTTGTGTATGTGGCTGGTCCAACAGATACAGCAGATCATCACCTAGACGAAGAGATGAGAAACAAATTCAATCAAACACAACATGTCTATCATCTTCGTCAAAATACTAACCTCCCAGTGTTTCAAAAGGCCACAAAATAAAAACTTCAGCTTCTTGAACAGTTGCAGGTCCTCTGTTGGTCAGATAATAGACGTGAGTCACTTCAGGTCCAATTTCGATTTCTCTGGTGATGTTTTGAGAAGTGTACAAAGATTCGTTGTAATATACCGTCGAAGGATAGGATTCCCTAAAAACAAACAAAAATTAGGAAATAATTAAGGAACATTTGATAAAAAACTTCAAATACCATCGATTCAAAAACGCAAGTTTGGTTGCTTCTTTCTCAACTTGCAATACTCGTGACTGTCCAGGCCTTCGACTACGCCAACTTCAGCGTTCCCGCAATCGGCATTTATATGAGGTGACACAATTATATACGTGGCACGGGGTGGAAACGTCTATGAAAACGGTCTGAATAATCTCATAAAGTATCAACAGCATGTTGAAAATACCGTAAGCTAACTTTGGGCTTTTACACATTGCATGACAGCTCGGTTGGTAAGTCGACACTTTTCGCCTAATTATTTGATGGAACCAAGGACGGATTTGATGCTGCAGCTTTTTTCTCGATTATGCTAAATTTTTGCTGTATGGAAAATTATTATTATTTATTTTTCCAAGAACTGTAGGCTGAGTAAAATTCAGTACCAACTTTATGAGCACCCTGTAGAAATACTTTGCAGAACCAAGTGCTTACCCTCGGATGTCCAGAGTTGCGTTGATCCAGATACCAATCGAAAGATGTTGGTGGTTATCCCTAAGTGTGTTAGCTGGTTCGGGGTTAGTACTGTTCACAAAAACGTCAAATTCGTAGGTGGGCGCCATTCCTTCTGCTTTGCCTGGTTGTACAACCAATTTGAAAATAGCCTACAAAGATATAATTGATTATTTTTACACCGAGACATGAAACTCGTTCTAACCTAGACGCTTATCAGTATATCTCGGTATTAAACTAAAATAATGATTTGTACCTTATGCGTAATTAACTTACAATTTTTCCACTAGGCAGAGGATTTCCAACATCGCAAATGACGGTCCTGTTCTTTCCAGGACTGCAGGATATTCCAGGCATGTGCTTTCTCGTTTCGAATTTCTTGTAGTAGGTTCGTTCGGGATATTTTAATTCGAGAGTCGTTTCGAAAGCATCTTCGCCAAAGTTCGAGACTATCACGTCAAATTCGAGGTCTTTGTCGGAACCTAGGTAGTATTTTTCTACATTGCTGTAACCAAAAATGGCCAAATCAGATAGTTGAAGAACCTTAATTAAAAAAGTAGAAGTAATGCACAAGTGTGTCGAATTTTCACTTTATCTTGCTTACGATGTGACGTTGACATGAAGATTGGGGATACAGATGTTATCAGGTCCACAATTCTTCTGAATGCTGACAGAATCTTTCTTTGATGGTGGGTTATTCAGATCAATGACAGGTCTCAATATAGATTTGGGATCCCTGGTTTGTTGATAAGCGCCAGCATATACCTCTTCTGCCATGAAATATTTCACTTCGGCTTCCAGTGGGGTCAGTTTGTCTCTCAAATCGGCCTAGAAGTATCATAGCCTCAAATAATATACTCTCGGATGTCATGTTCCCCAGATTCTGTTACACTTGTACCAATCTGACAACACGGCATTTGAGAGTATCGTCGAATGTTTTCTGAAGATCATGTACATTTTGAGAACCTGACAACGTAGCTTTGAATGCCCTTGTTGTCAGATTGTGAAAATGTAGCAGACGATGGGGAAACAATAATAATCAGATGAATGTAATATAGTAATTACCTTGACGTAGACTTTCTGAGATTTACAAAAGTCTCTATTGTCTTTGTATAGTCTCAATGTTTCATTGAAGGAACTTTGCCTAGGTCTGTCAAAGAATGCCATCCTAGGTGTATTCTCTTTTTTTGTGTCCAAAATATATTGCACCAAGAGGTCTGAAAAATAAGCGAACACCAGGATAAAGCTCAATATTTTTAGTGGCAGCTTAACCTACCTATTTGATCTGGAATACCCTTGCCGCTATATTTAATGCAAAAATCAATCATGGTACAAGTAGCATCTTGGCCATTAGATAGTCTGCAGTTTTTCTCTTTGATATCTATTTGCTTGTTGGCTGTTTGGAATCTTACGAAACCGTCTACTTTGACAACTGGCCTTGCCCTAAAACAAGTAGAATAGATTACAACAGGGTTGTCTGGCAAAAATTAAGGAAGGTGTTAATATGGAGGATCTGTCAAAGCACATCGTTGCCAGATGGATCGAACAGACTTCCCCCAGAACAGGCTGCCAAAGCACCACTGGTACTCCTTGCGTCAGGTTTCCGTGCAACGTTGCCGTAGTTTTTCATGGTATACTCGTATAGGCTCCATGGAGAGATCACTCCTCAAAACTAAATATTCATAAATATGTCCCTTATATTTCCCAAAAAACACAAATATTTCAATTTAAACAACTACAAGGTTCATCATTACCTAAAGAAGAATGCTGAGTCCGAAAGATATGCTCCAACAGCCATATCAGGATATTCGTTCCCGTCCAAATCCAGACCTCCGGCAATTGAAAATCCAAATGTTGAGAGGTACCGACTTCCAGTCTGAATGACCTCTGCATATATCACTTGGCCAAACTTCTTGTGGACTCCATCTTTGGAACCATAGTAGATGTAGACAGCTCCGTTGCCATTTGGACCATCGTATGGAGCTCCCACAGCAAAGTCTAAGGTAAACTGATCATCTCAAAAGTTGCACTATTTTTGGCGTCAAAAACGAAAAAGGTTAATATCGATAATTCCGCAATCGAAGAGATCAAATGGAACCTCCATCATGACTGTGGCCTGACTACAGTATCAATCGGCCCTATGGCATGCAAACCATAATCGATTTTACATCATTAATTATGGATTCATTTTGAAAAACGATACATATCGAAATAAATAACGATAAATATCGATAAAATAATCATATAAGTATTTTTCACAACGAAGACTGTCATGTATCCTAGTTTCAATTCTTCCGAAAGATAAAACACACCCGCCAATCGTCACTGTAGTCGGGCTCTGGTTCGTTAGAGTATGTAGTAGGAAACATAACTGATAATAAAAAATCATAATTAAAATTTATAGAGAGAAGTATCAAGTCGCTTCGTTTATTTAGTATACTTATATGTATAAGACTAATGACTATAGTAACTCTAAAGTGTGGATTTGATCATTTCACTTTTAATTTGATTAACCAGATTACGGTATGGTGTTACGTTGCGGCATTTCAGATTTATACTAAAGGGTCTAAAAGTTCTCACAGCCGAACATCGGCGTAACCGTTTGCTCTTCTGTAGAGAAAGAATTCTATGGGACCGGGAATGGAATCAGGTGGTCTTTAGTGACGAATCCTGCTTATGTCTGGGGATGCACGATGGTGGGGCAAGAGTGAGAAGGCAACGTGGTGAAAGACGTGACCCACAATTTGACAGAGAGCGTCACGTTTACCACACCGTGGGAGTTATGGTTTGGGGTGCTATTGCTTATGATAGCAGATCACCACTAATTTTCATCAGACGCAATATGACAGCCCGACGCTATATTCAGGAAGTACAGGAGCCTCATCCTATTCCAAACCTAAACACCATCCAAAATCCGATTTTTCAGCAAGACAATGCCAGACCGAATGTTACCAGATCATCGTTAGCCTTCATGGATCAACATCTCATCAACCGTTTACCTTGGCCACCACGATCACCTGACCTATCTCCAATTGAACATCTCTGGGACATGATAGGTCGCAGGCTCTTGAATTTTCAACACCCTCCACAGACTTTAGCTCTTACTCACGAAGTTGTAGTAGCCTGGAATGAGATACCCCAACAGGATATCGACCGCCTCATCAGCACGATGCCCAGGCGTGTCAATGAGTGGATCATCAACACATTACTGAACCAGCTTCTGCAGTCAGGTGACGAATCAAGCTGAACATTTAATCTTTTTACTAGTAAGGGACACTGAACATATATGCCAAAAATTCTTGAAATCGGATAAACATACTTAGTATATGTATAAAAATAACTAATGGTTATAAATTATTAGCCAAAAATTTTAATTTTATTTGACTTTAATTTTGATTAATCTGTTTTTAATTTCATTAAGAAGTGCATAACAAATATAATTCATTTTTCAATATAATTGTAGTTCAACTTATGTAGTAAATATAACCCTAAAATCAGTTTTATCGGACAAAAGACATTTTTTTTCATTGATTATTATCCGAAGAGTTTGATAATTGAATGTAGTCTGGGAAATATCCTCGCATCTGATGGGAAAAATATTCTGATTCCGACTTTTTGCATGATCTTATTCAAAAAGGTCTCTTTTTAACAAATCTGCATGTTGCCAGGCCCATATTGCCCAAAGTATATTTAGGTTTTTTGAGACATTCTGAATAAAACAGGTGATTTAGAACTGTTCTCTAAGGTTGGCAGTTTTCGAGATATAAGCGTCACAATATATGAAAAAGTGCGAAATACCCTTCCATTTCAGACCCCGAAAAGCAAGATGAAAGTACAAACATTTTAATGTTGCCACTGTTCCTAAATATTTTCCTAACGTTCATTAACAAAATCCCAAATCATTTCAGGACATATTGTCATTATAAACCTTTGTTTTTTAATTGTTATTCGAGCTCGCGCTCAATGGTTACCGCCGCGGCTGGCGGCCGCCCCTAGATGTAGCATCTCTCTCGTACTCACGCAGAGCATACATGGCGCACGCACTTGGTTATTAATTAAAAAACAAAGGTTTAGCATAACAATACTTCAAATTCTTTGAAATTTTGATAATGGATGTTTGTAAAATATTTGGGAACATTTACTGCATTATAATGTTTTTATGGTTTTTCATGGTCAAACTTTAAAATATTGTATGGCTTATATCTCGAAAACTTGGAACAAATGTTCTAAAGCACCTTCTTTGTTCAGAAGGTCCAAAAAATCTAAACATACTTCGGCCGGAGCAAAAAAGAAACAATTTTTGGAATTTGTTTAAAAAAATGGTTTACAACAGTTTTAACGAAATTTGGCCATGACAACATCAGGATGCATGAGATTATGACAGATTGAGAGATCCGATTCAGAATAATTTTTCCATCAGATGTGAAGATATTGCCCAGACTAATAATGCCCTAATCGACACAGATGCTTAGAAACTTTACAGCGTTGCCGCTACATCCAGATGCAAATTCTCTGGAAGTAATGACCTTTTCCAAAAACTACAGGGGCTTTGAAAAAATAGTGTAGCCCACTATTGAGATGTGTGAACCTAAGTTCTGTGTCTAATTGTAGATAAATTATTTATTCATCTACCCCAACAATTCTTACCATCAAATCCATCCTGATTCAAGTCACCTAAACCAGCCACAGATAGTCCAAAACGCCCTCTGGTGTTGATTCCGTCAATATGATGGGAAATGTCAAAGCTTTCGAACTGCAAAGACAATTTTTGGTCACAATTATTATCCATTCATAGTCAAAATATTAACTATAAGGTTCTTTGAAAAATATTTCATATCTCATAAAGTTTAACTGCTACCGTTCTTACAAGCGTCTTATCCTTTTTAGGATTCGTCAATACAATCACAATGACCGAAAGCAGTTCCAGTGCAATTTTCAATAAGTCAGCGAGTATCCATTTTGCAAAAGCGCCATATTATGAAGGATGTCCCAATAGGTGCATCCTGATTTTGTTTTTAAATATCATGCTTGTTTATATTATAAAAACGAAAGTATGGGAGCTGTTTTATAAATAATATGCCACTGAGGCCTCTTTTATACGTTTCAACACATTTCCATTCGTCGACTAAAATTGTTAATGAAGTTTTGGCACAACTGCAGTTTACTTTCAGGGATAACCGGAGAAATGTTTTGCTTCAATTTAGATCATTAACCCGGATACACCTAAGCTCAACCTGTGCAACTCTTTTAAATGACAATGTTAAAGTGATCTTCAAACTCGGTAATTAAGAACAACTTTCCATTCCTACATACATATATTATAAATGAGAAAGTTTTGATGTACGTTACTCAATCACGCCAAAATGGCTGAACGGATCTGGAAGAGATTTGGAACAGGGATAGATTATACATAGCACCTTTTATCCCGGAAAATAACAGGGCTGGATTGAAGGGGGGTAAAGGCAGATATATACAAAAGTGTTAATAATGAATCTCGAATACTATTTGGCCTATGAATATAAAATTTGGCAAGAAGGTAGTTTATGGGAGGGCATCTCAGCTTACGACAGGGCTGGATTAAATGGGGACAGATTCATTTACAGGTTTGTATGAAAGTTCTTTGTTTTTCTCCTGGAGATAATTTGGCAGGGAAGTAATTTATAGGCAGTAGTTGTCCATTAAAGACGGATTTTGCGACATGACCGTAATTGGTCATACTCTAAAGATAGAGTAGACTTAAGCTGGGAATGGATTTTGTGACATGGGCGAAAAGGGGCTTACGGGCTGTTACATTTTACATACATTTACCTTTTTAGTCTAATCATATACCAAGTGACATATAAATCCGAACACGAAGTTTAAATGGTTTTATTTTGATAAAATTTTGTATAAGTACTTAATGAAGCATAATAAGTAAATGATAAAAATTTCAAAATGATTGCACTGCTTTAAAGCCCTTTGACCTTTAATAATGTGTGGATGCACCCTGATGTGCTACGCATTCTCCAACGCGCCTAGACATGCTTCTGATCAGGTGGTCAATGTCCTCCTGTGGTATCTCATTCCAGGCAACCACCAACTCCTCTCGAAGTGCTTCTAGAGTCTGAGGAGGACGTTGCAAATTGAGCAATCTCCTACCCATCATATCCCACACGTGCTCAATTGGGGATAAGTCGGGAGATCTTGGTGGCCATGGTAACAATGTGACATCATTATGTTGAAAGAAGTCTATTGTGACTCTTGCAACATGTGGTCGGGCATTATCTTGTTGGAAAGTTGGATCTGCCAGGGTGTCAAGATAGGGTAAAAGATGGGGTTCTAGAACTTCGTGGATATAACGCTGCGCGTTCATGTTACCTCTGATGAAGATTAAAGGTGACCTGGAACCATAAGCTATAGCACCCCAAACCATAACTCCAACAGTGTGATGAACATGTCTTTCAACAAAAAACTGTGGATCCCTCCTTTCACCACATCGCCTTCTAACCCTGGCACGACCATCGTGCATGCCTAAACAAAATCGAGACTCGTCACTAAAGACAATACTGTTCCATTCCTGATCCCAGAGTGACCATTGTCTGCACCACTCAAGGCGATTACGTCGGTGTTCTCGAGTTAAAGGGAGGACCCAGTGTGGCCGGTATGAAAACAAGACAAAACTTCTCATTCGTCGGTAAACACTTCGCATGCCAATAGGTCTTCCGTGTTCTGCAAACCATTCATTTGCAATGGACCTGGTAGTGGAGAAACGCTCCCTTAAGGCCAATAATCTTAGGCGGCGATCTTCACGGTCTGTTGTTCTACGGCTGCGTCCAGTGCCCCTTGCTCTTTGCGTATGGCCTTCTCGAAGCCATGCCTGACAACACCTAACCACAGTGTCTACACTTCTTTGCACTCTAACTGCAATTGCCCGAGAAGAAACTCCAGCTTCCCGAAGTCCCACTATACGGCCCCTATCAAACTCACTAAGTTGACGAAATCGTACAGGTCTCCGTACTCTAGGCATCGTAACCGATCGTAAAGGATGTCAAGAACCAAAATCCGCCAACGTTGATTCTTTACTGCGGCTGAAATATTCATTTTTAGAGCGTTAGTGAATTAAAAAAAAGCAGTATAAAATTTCACTTATTATTTACAGTAAGATAAATACGTTCACCAACTTTTATGAAAATAAAACTATTCAAACTGGGTGTTCGGATTTATATGTCACTTAGTATATTAGTGGGAAAACTTGATTTCACAACAAAGAATGAGAAAACGTGTTTTTTGGGATTCAATCGAAAGTGTTAACAGGAACGAAAAAATATTTAATACAAGATTCTTAGGTATTTATGAGACCTACAAAATGATACTACACGTAAGAAGATCTGAGTAATATTAAAAATGTTATGACCGAAAAACGAGGCAAAATGCAGGTTTTTTCACTTTTTTGTAATGCGACGACGATTTCACGTAACTATTTAAAATTCTTCAAATCCGTAGGATTCATACTTCTAAATAACAACAACAAAATTGGATTATAGTGGTCAAGTTTTTTGACAATTTATAATTGTTTATATCAAAACACCTGTTTTCCTGCCAACGCTACTAGTTTATTGTGCAATATCAGGGTTCGTTCAAAGAGCATTTAATAGCAAAATAAACGGGTTTACCTTGCCGATGTATATCACAAACGATTCCGAAAGATAAATGTTAATTTTATGCGAAAAACAAGGGTTATGCTTTTTCTTCTAAACAAATTCAAACATTTCGTATTTATGAGTAATTGAACAAATGCGCTACGATATTCGAAAAGCATACTATACACATTTTGAAACAAAGCGGATGTGTCTATCATCAATTACTTACAAATACTAAATGTTTGAACTTGTTTAGAAGAAAAAACGTAACCCATTCTTTTTTGCATAAAAATAACATTTATCTTCTGGAATGGTTTGCGATTCATATCGCATATTGCTATAAAATGCCCTTTCAACTAACCCTGTATATTGCTCAATAAACTAGTAGTGATGGCCGGATGACAGGTGTTTTGGGGTAAAGAACTAGAAATTCTCAAAAAATATTTGACCAATCTACTCCAATTTTGTTGTATTTATTTAGAAGTACGAATCATACGAGTTTGAAAAATTTCAAATATCTGCGAGAAGCCATCGTCGCATTACCAACAAGTTCCAAAACCTGCAGTTTGCCTCGCTTTTCGGCCATAACTTTTTTGCCATTCGTCGGATCTTTTTACGTGTGGTCTCATTTTGTAGGTCTGAAAATACCTTAAAATCCTGTATGAAGCGTTTTTTCGTTCCTGCCATCACTTCCGATTGAATTCCAAAAAACGCGTTTTCTCATTCTTTGTTGGCGAATAAAAAGCTTTCCCACAAAAAATGGTGTACCCATTTTATGCGTCCTTGATTTGAATACCCCTTGAACAATTTGCAGCAATAAAACCAGACTTTACAATTATTTCGCAAACCAGGGGTATTTTCGTCTAATATGATTAGACTACTTCTAATCTGAGACCAGACAGAGGTGTATTCTTTACAATGTAAAATTCGGTTTATTCTAATGTGTAGTGATTTTAACAATCTTAGGCGTTAGAAATCGCTGGAAAAAGATAGTATGAACACAATGTTCAATCTAATAGAGCAGAATAACTGATCGTACGGCAATATGTGTTTCTTTGTGGCCGTATTAAAGGTGGCGGAATGTACGTTACGCTAATTCTCTTCCATTTTGGTACTTCCCTATAAAAATATATTTCCGTCCTTACCAAGTTACTGCTTTGATACAAAACATAAACCCTTCCAACATCATATTTGCCCTCGTTGTTAGGTACGGTATGCATGGGGGCTCCAACAATTATGTCTACAAAACCATCTCCGTTGACATCAGCTGTTGATAAGCAGTACCCAAAGTATGAACCAATTTGCTCGCTGATTGTGATGTTCTTGTAGTTTTTCAGGTCCCAACTAAACAGCAGAATCTAAAAAAAAAAATAAAATAAAATCAGTGTTACTTTAGGTTCATCTGCGAAGATGCGACTTTACTCGCAATAAAATTGTCGAAAAAAAATTGCGTCAAGTAGGTTGATTCTGCACTTCCTATAGAACGCTGTCATCAGTTCATAATGAAGAATTATGTTCGGCACAAAATAGCACTTGTGAGAAAAAAGTTGGCTACAAATTAAATGGATCAAGTTAGTCAAACAGGCTCATGTAATGAGAATTTGCATATTTAGCATGATTTCCTGTATAATTGTGGGGCTCTTTAGGATTTATCCCCCTGAGAAAATATCCTATCCCTCGCTCCCCAAAAAGTTTTCAAGGAAGGTACGCTATCTCACAAAGTTATCTTTTAGCGATGGATGGCCCTCCTCCTCTCCCTAAGGGAAAAATGATTACATCTTGCGTGGATGACCATTGACGGCTCAATCCACAGCAGTCGAGCAGCGGTGGCCGACTGAGAGGCACATGCATCGGCCGGACCGCGAAGTATGTATTATCGATACGCGACGGTTGGAAATATTTCTCCATCATTCTAAGTTTTGACCATTAATACTCGTATGTACGATCATCTGTGATGAGCAAAATATGTCTAATAGGTGCGTATAATTGCCGCGGCTGAAGGCGTATAAGTATATCAACGTCAAAAAATGAGGTATACCCTCTTCCACCCCTACAAACCCTAACTCCCCTAGCCTCTACAAAAAATTTCTGAAAATGTATGAAATTTGAGCAATTTTTATATCCCCTTTTCGCCCGTATCACCGCCGTCTCTGGATCAATTTTTAAGAACTATAAAGCTGTTGTAGTAGTAAGCTCGTGTTGAAATTTTATCAAAATTCGACAGACAGACCGACGAAAATAACTGACATGGTTTTTCGTGATGTACATACATACATATTATATTATATGGTGCATCGTTTGACAAATTGAAATGGCGGACAGCGGAGGTCTTTTTCTATTACCCCAGGTCCCTAAAACAGTTTTTATCCCAAAAGCATTAATTATCTAGATTTTTTAATTGTTTTAGTGAAAACTCCAAAATGTAATACACAAAGTGAAATTAAAAAAATAAAGGGTATGTCTACCTAATGATTACTTAATTTATCTCAATGGATGATGTACCAATTTTACAAAATCAACATTACCTGCCAGCAGCATGTAGTTTTTAATTTATAAGCTCACAAAGGGTTACAAAGAAGAACAAAAAAATGTAAGTCTCAATTTTGAATTTCTGTAAAAAAACTAAAAGGGTTCACGTTGTTAGAATTCTTTTAAAAACTACTCTAGTTTATCCCGCTTCTAAAGGTATGTCACAAGTCACAAAAAAGTTGAAATAAGTTCTTGAATTTGCAAATTTTGTGTACAGGGACAAATTTTTTCGGTCGGATAATAACAATGAATTTTTGTTTCTGTTGTATAGTTTACACGTACAACCCAGGTAAAAACTTTTGTCTCCCTCGTACACAGTGGTGCAGTATCATCTGTCTCTCTCTTTTTACTAGTTGAGCGGCTAACCGACAGGGACGACGTGGGTCCATTTTTCCATCGAGGTTCGTCCCTGCTGGCTGCCTAACGCTTATGTTACTTCTACGTAGTGCCGCGACCTGTGACTGTTGTTGTTTTGTCAGTTTTCGTTGAGTTCTGTTTTGATGATGGCTGCATTTACAAATGCAGAGTATGCAGACATGTCGTTGGTCTACGGACAAACTAACTGTGTTGCACGAGCAGCGCAAAGAATCTACGAAGAGCGCTATCCTAACAGGCGTGTACCTACTCGCCACACATTCCAAAACACTTATCGACGCTTACAAAAAACCATTACTGTGAGCAATAATTCACCAAGAGGTGTCGTAGTGCGACACAATGTTAACATCGATGAGAGGATTTTGGTACTTGTCGAGGAAGATCCTACTCAAAGCATCCGAAATGTAGCTTCATCACTGGGAATTTCCATTTGAAAAGTGTCGAAAGTACTTCGCCAGAATAATAAACATGCCTTCCACTACTTTGCTGTACAAGGTAGGTAATTTTTTTATCACACTTACAACTGTCTGCAATGGAAACTTCTTGTCGCTTTTATCTAGCATGTAGCGACGGCAACTAATGTTACCCGTATTTTTTTGATTGCAGGTCTTGAAAACAATGACTTCGACATCCGAGTCCGGTTTTGTCGTTTCTTGCTGCACACAGACGTGGACGATCCGGACTTTTTGACAAGTATTCTGTGGACGGATGAGTCCAAATTCACCAAGGAAGGGATACTAAATTTGCACAATCTGCACCATTGGGCATGAAAATATCAGAACCCAAGAGTGAAGAGGCCAAGCTCTTTTCAGAGAAGATTCAGTGTGAATGTTTGGGCAGGAGTAATTGGCAATCATGTGATTGGGCCACATTATTTGCCAGATCGTATTAACGAAGATAATTATCTACATTTACGAATTGTGTTCCAATATGACGGCAGTCCTGCACACTGGAGGCTAATTGTGCGGGTACATCTAAATTGTTTTTCCGAATGCGTGGATTGGACGAGATGGTCCTATTCCATGGCCTGCACGCTCCCCAGACCTAACTTCATTGGATTTTTACATCTGGGGACGTGCAAAAGCACTCGTCTATGCGACAGAAGTTGGAACAATGGAGTTGATCCGAAGAATAGAAGAGGTGTTTGGTATGATTCGGCAAGAAATTCGCCTAAGTACGACAACTGTCGAGATAAGACAAAGGTGTCGTGCGTGCATACGCATTAGAGGACAATAATTCGAACAAGATTTGTAAAACAGAAAAAATAATAAATGATTGAAATTTGATTTTACACGTTATTTTATTTTCCTTCCCCTGTACACAAAATTTTCAAATTCAATAAGTTAGTTAAACTTTTTTGTGACTTGTGGCATACCGTTAGAATCGGGATAAACTAGAGTAGTTTTTAAAAGAATTCTAAGAACGTGAACGCTTTTAGTTTTTTTTTCAGAAATTCAAAATTGAGACTTACATCTTTTTGTTCTTCTTTGTAACCCTTTGCGAGTTTATAAATAAAAAACTACATGCTGCTGGCAAGTAATGTTGATATTGTAAGATTGTTACATCACCCATTAAGATAAATTAATCATTAGGTGGACATACTCTTTATTTTTTTTATTTCGTCTATTACATTTTGGAGTTTTTACTACAAAAAATTAGAAAATCTACATAATTAGTGCCGTTGGGCTAAAAACTGTTTGAGGGACCTGGGGTGATAGAAAAAGACCTCCTCTGTCCGCCATTTCAATTTGGCAAACGATGCACCAAACACCCTGTATAATATCTAAAAAACATAATACCTCATCAAACTTATCGCGATTACAATACTTCCTCGCCAGTAGCCGTGGGAAGTAAAAATATAACCGTATTCTTATTAGATAGTATGCATCGAGTGATGTTCATTGAACTTCAATAGGATTTTTTTTAACACAGTTAAATTTAAACAGTTCCTGTGCTCCATGCTTTTATCTTATTTGCTGACCACTATCTTTGAGTGTCTTTAAAACTTACCTTTCCCCTCAGCTTGTTGCCCCTAGGCATGCCCACAGCTATCCCTTCATACACTTCTCCCTTCCTGAAGTGCCCAACCACAGTGGAGTAGCCAATGTAAGAGTCATCATCTGGAGCGCTACCCTCTCTTGTCGAAAACACTGCTGACCTTGTCTCCAAGCTCTGTTGGTGAACCGAACCTGAGCAAAGAAATTAAGTTAGAGACTTCAAAGGAAGCATCGTGGTTAGACACTTAGGTATAAGGGTGTCTCTAAATAGGCTCTTATGGCTCTTAGAATCAACCGATACTAAACGGAATATGAGAAAAATTTCGACACGACGAATAACTTGGCTTAGTTTTGAAGTGGTATCAATGTATCTATTCTTACTTTTAGTGTAATCTTGTCCTACAGAAAGGCCACTATAAAACTGAATAAAATTAAATAGGGTCAAAAGATGAGAATTATGAAAAATACCTGTCTCCGGCAGCCGTATAAATCTGGGCACTAAATAAATATTTTGAAAAACTGATAATGAATAATACTTTCAATAAGATTAAGATAAAAAATTGACCTGATTCCGTTTTGAGGATATTGGAGAAACAAATTCCATTGGTTAACGTGTTCTACCTTCAACCTAATACAATATTTGCACGTCCAAAAAATTATCCGAATTAAAATGAGATTTCCTAGAGTCATCTATAAGAATTTGTCACAGCGATGTCTCTCCTCTCGACAATAATTAGAAATCTTGAAAAGGTTTAGTGCCTCGTAGATAGCACTGTAGCTAATAGATAAGATTTATTTGACCACTACGTTTTAAAAAAAGTTATATGTATAGCAAGTCATTTTAGTTACAAAAAGAACAGTATTGAACCGAAAATAACACATACACACACAGATAGATACAAACAATTAAATCACAACGTTACCATCATGAGTTGATTTGAGATTTGGGGGAAACAGTGTAGTCACGGGCCGAGTAGAATGCATTATTCTGTAGAACATATTTTTCAGTAGTTTAAAAAGCATTAAAGTGGAGGTTTCTCATTTTAGTTGGTAATAGATTGTATAGTTTCATTTTGAGAGTTTTTTGAGGATTTCTCTAGATGATATTTAGGAGTTTTTATCATTTTAGCTGATCGGGTGCTATACTAATGAAATGTCAAATTAAGTTGATATTTGTAATTGTTTTTATGAATCCCCATGCTAATATATATACTAAATGACATATAAATCCGAACACCCAGTTTAAATGGTTTTATTTTAATAAAATTTTGTATAAGTACTTAATGAAGCATAATAAGTAAATGATAAAAATTTCAAAATGATTGCACTGCTTTAAAGCCCTTTCTTTAATAATGTGTGGATGCACCCTGATGTGCTACGCATCCTCCAACGCGCCTAGGCATGCTTCTGATCAGGTGGTCAATGTCTTCCTATGCTATCTCATTCCAGGCAACCACCAACTCCTCTCGAAGTGCTTCTAGAGTCTGACGAGGACGTTGCAAATTGAGCAATCTCCTACCCATCATATCCCACACGTGCTCAATTGGGGATAAGTCGGGAGATCTTGGTGGCCATGGTAACAATGTGACATCATTATGTTGAAAGAAGTCTATTGTGACTCTTGCAACATGTGGTCGGGCATTATCTTGTTGGAAAGTTGGATCTGCCAGGGTGTCAAGATAGGGTAAAAGATGGGGTTCTAAAACTTCGTGGATATAACGCTGCGCGTTCATGTTACCTCTGATGAAGGTTAAAGGTGACCTGGAATCATAAGCTATAGCACCCCAAACCATAACTCCAACAGTGTGATGAACATGTCTTTCAACAAAAAAATGTGGATTCCTCCTTTCACCACGTCGCCTTCTAACCCTTACACCGACGTAATCGCCTTGAGTGGTGCAGACAACGGTCACTCTGGGATCAGGAATGGAACAGTATTGTCTTTAGTGACGAGTCTCGATTTTGTTTAGGCATGCACGATGGTCGTGCCAGGGTTAGAAGGCGACGTGGTGAAAGGAGGAATCCACAGTTTTTTGTTGAAAGACATGTTCATCACACTGTTGGAGTTATGGTTTGGGATGCTATAGCTTATGGTTCCAGGTCACCTTTAATCTTCATCAGAGGTAACATGAACGCGCAGCGTTATATCCACGAAGTTCTAGAACCCAATCTTTTACCCTATCTTGACACCCTGGCAGATCCAACTTTCCAACAAGATAATGCCCGACCACATGTTGCAAGAGTCACAATAGACTTCTTTCAATATAATGATGTCACATTGTTACCATGGCCACGAAGATCTCCCGACTTATCCCCAATTGAGCACGTGTGGGATATGATGGGTAGGAGATTGCTCAATTTGCAACGTCTTCCTCAGACTCTAGAAGCACTTCGAGAGGAGTTGGTGGTTGCCTGGAATGAGATACCACAGAAGGACATTGACCACCTGATCAGAAGCATGCCTAGGCGCGTTGGAGAATGCGTAGCACATCAGGGTGCATCCACACATTATTAAAGGTCAAAGGGCTTTAAAGCAGTGCAATCATTTTGAAATTTTTATCATTTACTTATTATGCTTCATTAAGTACTTATACAAAATTTTATTAAAATAAAACCATTTAAACTGGGTGTTCGGATTTATATGTCACTTAGTATAGTTGGTTACAGCGCCATTTATGAAACACTAATCTTTTCAAAGTAGATTTATAATTATCGCGGAATGGATAAACATACATAGCTGTAACAAATTCTCATAGATGAGGCTGCGGTATCTGATTTCATCGTGGATAATTTCTCGGATGCGCGAATATAGTAATGGATAAACTATCTTTTGGCGGAATACGTTAATCAGTGGTTATACGTATACGTATTTCCTATCTTAGCAAGAAGAGTTTACCAAATATCCACAATTTTATTCAACAAAACAAATTATTGGCTTTCGAAAAATATCAAGCAAATGTTAAGTTGAGAAATTGCTTAGATGAATATACTGTTGAAAATTTGAGACACCCTGAATAAATTATGATTGTTGCTAGGAATGATTGCTGTAAAGCTATAAGCGATTTGTATTTGGTAGATAGCTTGGTAACACGAAGCGGAAGCTATTGGCTAAGATGTAGATGAAAAACGATACAAAATAAAATGAAATGAATAGAATACAGAGTGTATATAAACATGCTCATTATTTACAAATGTTCTTTCAAAACGAGGTAGTAAAAAATGAGCTCATAGGTTAAAGATAAGGTTCCAATAAGTTTTTGTAACAGCTCAATGATAATAGCTTCAAAGTTCCTGATTATGAATTTGAAGCGCCTTGAAGAAGATTAAAGAATTTCCCACAAAATACCCTCAGTACTAGATTCATATGAGAGGCTGAAGTTATAAGATAATGTTTTTCTTTAACATTAGGAAGGATTCCTAGTGCATGTTCTACTCAAAAATGTTTTCAATGTAAAAAATTATGATTCTATTTGGAACTCTGTTCTAAGCTTATTTTCTTAAAACGGGTCATATTTACACAGCTTGCTTGTTGTAATCAAAATTAATCAAGTTATTTCAATTTTTAGACAGTAAAAACTAATTGGGTACTAAATAGTATACAAATATATTACATGGAGCATTTTTTATCATGGGAAATTGTCTAGCTATGATAAGACTTGTGGAGACACTGGATCATCATATGAGTCAATTTTAGAGTTTTTGGGTTTGCAGCACCACACCTCCCCTCCCCTCCCCGAGAAAATTTGCAAGCCTCGGCTATTAAACAAGGTTTGAGAACAGATATGCGCTTTCAAAAAAGATAGCCCCTTATCGATGACTTCCCCTGAAAAAAGTTTCTGCGGGCGCTCTTGGAGCGAAGAGTAATATTGAAACATAACGGACATAAGAATAAAAGTTTTAGTTCTTATATTTATCTACCATTACAATCTTTACATAAAAGAGTATAATATCTGCAGAAAAATAATTGAAAGTCCTATGATTTCAATATTTTGAATAAAACTAGATTGCAAAGGCATTGTTACTTTAAGTGATTTCCCAGGAAACCCAATCCCACAAAATTATGATAAAAGTAATTCATGAAAGACATCAAAATTAAAGGAAAACGATAAAATTAACACACCGATGATTGTAAAAATAGTAACGAATAAAAACGTATAAGATGCTCTCTCAGATACCACTTCAGGGATAATGATAACTGAAACTTTACTAGCACCGAAACATGAATAAGTGAATACGTTTAAAGAAGATACTTTCTGCATTAGCTCACAGCATAAAATATCCGATTCACATATCTATCTGTTTAGCGCCCTGATTATGTTTCCCAAAACACGTTTGAGTATAATTTGAAATAACGGAATTACCGAAACAAAAAAAAAAATAAGAAACCAACTCATACATATTCAGCGGCCACATCCTTGTCAATCCTCCAACGAAAATTCGACAATGTTGTTATTATCCAATTTATCTCTTGTTCGCTAAGTTGATACGCCTTAATAAGTCATTATTTAACCCCTGTTTATTATTATTTTTGTTAATTCCTGTTACCACCTTTTAAGCTTCTTAACGTTAAAACTCTTGTTACAAATTTAGTAATATTAAGTGTTTAGGCTAACCAATTAGTTCTTCCAATCAAAGAGATACGGCTTTGTACGAATATCCCAAAGATTGGAGTAGCTTCAACTTGTCCATGCCCATTTTCTTCCTCATGCGAAGAAAAAAAATATGTAGATATATAAATGATTAAAAATACTGCCACTCTGTGGTCTATAGTTACTTGCTGTAATCCTTGGCCTATAGATAAGTCAAAGATATTACATTTTAATGAAACATTAGAATACGTTGTGTATGACAGAGAGAAAAAAAATAAAAGGTTTTAAAAATTCGATGAGACGCCATTTATTTGAGTTTAGCTACATATCTCTTTTTCTTCAGTGTACAGTAGAGCTGGATAAGTCCTGAACGAATCGTTCCAAAGGAACGATACCGCAGCAGGAATCGAAGGAATTGGAATTGAAAGGAATTTGTTACGGCGGTTTAGATTCGAATTCCGACTCGGGTACTTTCGATTTCAACGATTCTCCATTCCGCTTGTTTCGATTCCGATTCCGATGGTTTCGACTCCAACCAGGTTGGATCGAATTTGTATAAACTGTTTGAAGGGAATGATACTGGCAAAATTCGCGAATTGCTACTACCGCAATAAGAATGGCCGCACTATTGATTGCAGCTGCTCCAAATGAGGAACTAACTGGTATGGAGTAATGGAGCTTGGAGTATAGAAAATTCTTGATTGTATGCTCAGAGAAAAATTTTAGATGTTGATTTTTTTTAATTTTGACTTAACGTCACGAAAACCAATTCCTGTGTTTAGATGTCTGTTTTTTTAAAATAGTAGAAAGCAGGTTAATCTACCTTTGGAATGATGTAAGCTTAAAAAGAAAGAGCCTAATCGAATTTTATACAATTTGTAACCTGTTTCAGCTATATTTCGCTATATGATCGCGATGAGGGTAATTTTTTAAGCTTTTCCACCAGTAGCTTTTGGGTTTATGTATACGAAGTTAAGACTCATTCACTTAGAATTTTTTTTATTAGATGTGTTGTAGATCTTATATTGTTTCCAGTCGATGTCGATAGAAGATTAAAACTCAAACCATGTCGCTAACTATATAGTAGTGTAATTACTTCTGTCTTCTCAATGCCTTTATTGTTATAAATTAATTTTTTACTAATATAAATTCGTAGTAACTATCACTATTTGAGGGTTGAATGGAAGAATAGCCGTCTCTAAGCTTCGCCCATTTATAACTTGTTGCTAGTTATGAATACAGACGTTTACTATTATATACATCCCTTATTACTATTATTATTATTATTATTGTTATTATATAACAGAAACGGAACAGTTATGTCCAAATAAATTAAGATATATTTTGGAGAAAAAATATTAATTATAAAGGTGGTCGATGTTACCCAAATTTTGGTTTGAAACATTTTCTTCCGGTATTGCAACTTAACTTCTCTTGCATTTCAAATTTTATTTTTTATCTAGAAGTACAGTAAATTTCCTATATAAAAAGCTATGTTTAATATCTCAATGTAATATTCTTTAATTTTATTCAATTACGAATGAAGCAAATTTAGGATGGACGTTTGTTGAAAACATGAGAGACTTTCTTATAAATTGTGGTAGGCTCAATTTCTGATAGTATCTAAAACATATCATCCAGCATTGAGTCAGCATCGGTGTTCTAGATAAGGAAACGTAGCACCTCGAAATCGTGAACGAATAAAAAAACTTATTCCGAGTCCGGAATCGGAATCGTGAACGAATCGAAGAAGTCAGTTCCGAAACCGGAATTAGAATCGTGAACGAATCGAAGAAATCAAACCTGAGGCCGGAATCGGAATCGTGAACGAATCGAGGAAATCAAATCCGAGGCCGGTATCGAAACCGTGGAATCGAATCACCAGAAGGAACGATTTGACCCAGCTCTAATGTAAAAGAGAATGGAACATGCGTCAATCCTGAAACTCCGCTTTTAGTAAAAACACCTGTGGCAAAAAATTCTTCAAATCTCCAACACCTACTAACTGGATGACTGTTAACAAAAACAAATTAAAAATAAACCAACAAAACTAGGTTCGGTGAGTGTGTGTGAGCAGATTAGGGATTTTGGTGTTTGTAAGTTGGTACCTTTGGCGCCGTAGCCCTGATTTCCAAATAGTCCGGGCGTATAGTTGAATTTCGCATGTGCGTCAATCGAGTACATTTGGCCTGAAACAGAATTGTTCAGGTTTGCCATTGCCTTACCACACTGTCTACGCTCTAGGATTTCTAGAAGCCTGAAATTATTAGATGGAAAAAGGAGAGACTGGAACTTATGAAGGATAAGGATTCACATGCAAGCATTGCTAAGATCAGGCTACATCAGGTCTCTTCCAAATTTTCTTCTCATATAAGGTGATCCAAAATCCCAGAACGGCAAGATATTTGATAATGTTTGAGCAATTGTAGCTTGTTAAAATTCCGCTCATTGAATACAAAGAGATAGTGCGCTGATACCTTTATAATGCCTGTTAATTACCGGGATGTCAACTGCAAACCTTACGCTAGTGCCTATGGCGTTCCAATGGTAGGCTATTGTTTTGTTTAATAATGGATTAGTATGGACATTTAAAAAATCTTCCCACTCAGTTTGTCTATCTTTCTAGGATCTTACAAGCTTTCCTCCTCTGACATTCCCGCCAACTATCATCAACACAAGCTATCCTTGATCGAGCTAATAGATCACGTGATTTATACCTGGATTTTGATTCGTCCAAATATGATGGTCGTCTGATAGACGCTTGGGCTGTTTTCTTTCCAGTGACAGCCCTGCCATTTCTGTCCGAGTTTGGGGACAATAATCAGCTGGGCTGCATTCGCGATTGTTACAGAGTGTATTTTGTTCCACTCTGTAACAATTTCAGCGTTCGTAATTGTTCCATGCGTTCGAGAATAGAACAAAATATGTCAAAACTGCAATATTCTTCCCTTGGTCAAAACCTTAGAAATAAGAGCGTTGTCACTTATCACTCCCATGGTTCATCGTTTGTTTACTTTATTTTTCATTAGAGAGTGCTCAGGATAAGCAGAATATATTTATATATTTTTCACGATAAATGGGCTACCTACATTACTTTAACCTTGAACGTCCGAGTCAAGCTCATCGGGAAAAAATCTCATTTGAAGCGTTTAGCTATAGCGTCCTTGTCAAAGTCACTGTGAATTTCACAAAATTTTAGGAATGTTTATAAAGGTAAAGCCATAATAAGGACTCAAAGACGGTAGGAGCTTCAATTTCTCTGGCTATTCACTGGTGACCTTGAAACTGACCCTCGCCACGACTTTGGCGATAAAATCAACGTCTAGACATTTTTTGCATAGCATCCTTTGTGTATGTTGTATCCCGGAAACGGATAACGCTGAAAAGTTTATTTCTGGACATGACCTTGGCCAGGGATGCTCAAGGTCAAAATAATGTTCACTCAAGGTCTCACCAGCATATAAAATTTCCTGTTATATTCGTCTCCGGGGTCAAAAATAAGGATTCCTGTTTTATAACATTGTATGGCACTTGATTTGCTCAAGGTCAAATTCAAGGTCACCACTGAAAAGCAGCGAAATTCCTGATCCTCAACTGTTTTACTTTTAACCTTACCGCTTCTATATTTCTGAGTACCTTGCCGTTCCAGGACTTTTGGAGCACCCATACTAGAAATCGTTGCTAATTTTTACTCAATCAAGAAGTCACAAATAATGTTACTATTTTTTTCTGTGCCAGTGGATCCAACGTTCAGCAACAAGGAACTCTGTCACTAGTAACTGCATTTTGAAGATGGGAAATTTCCGTAAAATTCCTAAATACCCCTTATGAATTTTTAGAATCTAAGAACACCCTTTATTCTGATTTTTCATTAATATTCCAAGAATACTATAATCTAGAGGTTGTTGCATTTCAAATAACGAAAGTACGGTTTATTTCTGGTATTATCGAAATGTACATGAAGCTGAAAATATTATCACTGAAAAGAGCATATCAAAAAGTTTTCTAATACAGTAGCTGCAGTAGTTTCTCTGATTTGCAATGTTGTTTTTTGGGGGGGAAATGGTTTAAGGGTAGATATTTAGAAGAGATTTGAAGGCAGTCAGTTAAATAAACTCAAAGACACGTTACCTTGCCAATAATAGCTACCAGGTGCTCCGACGTATAGCCGATCTCCTTTCTGGAAAAAAAATAGCCTATTTTATCAACTTTGTTTCATACGATATAATTATTGAATAGGACGATAACACGACGTATAAACTAGTAATATAGCTTAGGTTCGTCCGACCACAGAAGGCCAACCGTTAATGCTATTCGGCAACTCCTCAGAATGGTGCAGGCTTGATCTCGGTGGACAGCGAACGAAGGCTGAGCAACCACGTCAGAGTATAAGGTTTATCGAAATAAGACAGCACAAAGTGTCATCTATTATCAGAATCGACCACTGCGAAAGTGAAAACAGTAAGCTGTTTGTTGGAACAGTCTTCCTGTTCAATGGCGAGTAGACCGTATCCACTACAGCACCAGAATCGGCGGCAGCTAGCGACCTGAGTGTGTATTGCATTGTCAGCTGTGGCTGCTAGATGCCGCCGATTCTGCTTCTGCAATATTATTTAATCGCCATTTTACTGGAATATAGTTCCAACGGACAGCCTGTTTCGCAGTGGTCGATTATCGTAATAGATGGCACTTTCTGATATCTTATTCCGATAAACTTCATACTCTGAATACAGTAAAGTTGCACATCCATTAATCGAGATCAAGCCTACACCATACTGAGAAGTTGCCAAATAGCACGAAACAGATGCTGTACGTTGGCCTCCTGTGGTCGTACGAACGAAAGCTATATTTGGTACTAGATTGTTCAATGGCAAGAGGACCGTATCTACTACAGCAGCAAAATCGACGGCATCTAGCGGCCACGGGCATGACCCGTATCATCTGGCTGACAATACAAGCTGAGATACAGTTCCAGCAGACAGCTTGATGTTTTCACTTTCGCAGTGGACAATTCTGATAATAGATGGAACTTTGTGATGTCTTATTTTGATAACACTATGTATGTTTATAATAGAAAATCTCAAGTTTTCAAATGTGACAACCTAACCTGTTCTAACATATTTTGAGTCATTTTCTGGACTTTCTTCTCAAAATTCGCTATGAATCGTTGAGCATTTGAACTATATGGCAATGGATATGGAAAATGTAGACTATTGCATCTATTACGTAGGAGTGATAGCCCTGGTTGTTTTTCTAGTTTTTATTTACAGAAATGTTTAAGCCACAAGGAACCAGGAATTCAAAAAATTAGATGGTAATGCTAAAATCCAGGTGAGAGTTTACTATTACAGCTGAAGATATTAACGCAATACGCCACATAATGAGTATTATTAAGCAACAGCTTTACAACCTCTTTTTAGTGATTCTAAATGTTATTAAAATAGTTCAGCCATATACCTGTATTCATGCAAAACACAAAATTATAAAGAAAACTCAATACTACGTAACTGTGTATATCCGTTCATAAAACGAAAGTGTAATAATGGTATTATGCCTGAACAGTTGTGAATGATACCGCGTTATTAACTTAAAATAGTGATTTTGTAATAAAAATGTACTAAAAGGTAGTAAAAGTCTGCATAAAACTGCCTAAAGACCGTCTAGGTCCGTTTTAGCAGTACATCCAGATGTCACTCTCTATAACAGTTAATTCTGTTAGGAAATTGCTTATTTGCAAAACTGTATCGTGTTATAAACAAAGACGAATTCTCTTTCAATTGCTCTAAAAAATTTATAGAAAAGTAGTCATATTGTATTGCAACAAGTTTGTTGAGGTATTTCTTTGAAGATAATAATTCTATAAGAATTGATCAAAGTTGATTGATTTTTTCTCCGAAAAGTTATAACGTTCTTTTTCTGTTATGGTAGCAGATAAAAGAAAACATTTTTTAGATGTTCCTGTTAAAATTTGTGAAGTAAAAGGGATTGAAGGAATAGCGACAGTGGCCGTACAAAATTAACATAATACATCTTATTCAATGTTTTAAATAAAAGCTTATCCAAGTTTGCATTTTCTTTTTGAGTGATGACGATAAATAGGATCAATACGTTTTTACGCATTTGACAGAACACAGAAAAGTAATGTAATGAGACCATTACTAAAGATAAATCCTAAGAATCCGACCAACCTTAAAAAGAATCCTAAAAATACTAGCGCCATCTGTGAGACGGTAGCCTAATACAAAAATGAATTTTATATTGTGAAACGAGTGAGTGTCAGATTCTTCTACTGTCTCATAGATTTTTTATACCAGAGCAGCCGCGTAGGCAGAAACCTAAATACCGGGGCACCGTGGCTGCTATGAGGAGCTTAAAGAAACTTTGATAATTCGATTTTTGAACTTCCTAAGGTTAGCAGAACTGGCAAAAGCTTCCTCAGGTAGATTGTTCCAGAATTTCGATACCCTAGGGTAAACGAACAGTCATATCGGCTAGTTCTGGATGTATGAAGTTCGACATGGTTAGGATGGGAGGCGTCATGCGATTGTGTCTGGCAGGCACATCGTGCGGCAGCATCATGACGGAGAGCTCTGGGGTGCAAAGCCAGTAGGCTTAGCGATATAAGAGAGCTAGTTTGCCGACGGCCTGTCGCGTCGGTGCGAAAGGGTCCCGAGTCTGTCCGTTAGAGAAGAGTAATTGATAGTCGGGGCGACGGCACCTCAAACATCTGAGCAATATTCGAGGCTAGGAGATAATTCGATTATCTGCTCCTTGTACAGAGTGAGAAGGTTCTGTGGAGGAAAGTACTTCTTAGCCCTAAACAGAGCCTAGCTTTTTCCCAGCATCTATCGCAATTGACGAGAGCAGCCGAAATGAAAGGCTCTTTGTCAGAGCTCTGCCATCCATCGAAACCGGATGAGCGCTCAGGCGCTCCTTGTTACTCAAGGTACAGTACTGTGACTTGGAAGCATTAAATGTTAAGCAATGCTGTAGAATTAATACCGAAAAAGAGTCCTTCTGCGTAACACAAGCATAAGCAACCCATTACAAAATTACATATTATTGACAAGTATTAAAATTATTTTCGGTCTACGATAGTCGTTCTCATTAAAGATGATAATAATAAAAAATGCTCTTCTCACGTAACAAAACCGTATGCCACATCTGTAACGGCAGTAAAGTCATAAGTCACAAATTGATTTATTCACCTGAGCCACTCCCTCAGAATCACTATCAGAACTGCTATCTACCAGACGATTCTGTCTGTCCTTCATACTGTAATCTGAACTAAACCAACATCCATTGTTTTCACTATCCATTAATATCCGTTTGGCACCCACCATGGAATTTGTTTAGTTTATAGTTTTTTTTTGCGTAAAAGTGTGTGGAGTATCGTGATTGTTCACAATCGCAATTTACAAACTATTACGACATCTGCTAGCGAATTATAAAAAAAACAACTTCGGACATAAACGCCACGGGTGCTTTTACATGGAAATGTGGCTTTTATTCAAATGTTGTTTAGGTATTTTACTGCCGCAATCCCTTAATGTAACCATTGTTTTTTGTTTTAGACAGGAAAAAACTTTTATAGCAGATAAGCTCGACAGTAATGCCCTGTAGGCGCTTTCCTGTTCGAAGTGCGAGATTTAATATATGTACAAGCAAGATTTATTAACGTACAAAAAGGTATTGAACGTCTTAGCCTCATCTATGAGTCAGTAGAAGAACGACTCTAGCCCTTTTCAAACTAGATCCCTTTCTGAATGCTGGAATAAAACATACGGTTGGCAGACAGAGTACGTTAATCAGTGGTTCCAGCATTCTTTTTGCTTACCTTCAATATAACGATAAGTTTCTACTACGATTTTTCCTCTGAAACTATTCCCACGTCTCCATAAAGAATGAACGTCTAGAAGAACCAAAGGATTAATTTCAGAAGATACATCAATCATATTATTGTAACTGCTAAACGCCTACTCAGGTAGTATCGCTGTCAAATATGCTGAATGGAATTGAAGTCACTCGATTTGCATGTACAAACATACGCCCAAGTTGGTTTGTGGTATCGATTGCTAAATTACAATGATCATTTCCGATGAGGCGATAACTCTTGGTAATAGCCTGAAGAAGACTAGAAAGAAACAGTCCAGGGAGCAGCCTGTATTGGATTGCAGTTTCGTGGTATCTACATATAAACTATCAACGTTTCTGTTTGCAATGTTTGACTGTAAATATGGTTATTATAGACCAGCCGCCATGAAAATATTGCGGGATATGACCCGGCTATACATGTAGTCCCATTTTAAAAGTTTCAGGCGAAGGAATGATGATGACCTTGACCATGACTTTTACCACGACCTGCAGGGTCATCCAAAGGTCAAACAAATATTTTCTAATAGATCCCCTACTTTTTTACAGCGGCATTGGAAAAAAGAGGAAAGTCTACGTCCGAATATGACCTTGACCTTGACCATAACCATTTCAAGTTCTAGTAAAACCATTGAAAACGATTTGCTCTAACAAAAATGGTTGACAGCACAATTGTGAGGTTTTTGGTCTGTGATCTTGACCCGACCTTCAAGGTCAAGCCAAAATGTTCGAAGGAAACCCGTCATTTTCATCCTGGAATTGGAAAATCAGAAAATGTTACATACCTTAAACTCGAAATCAGGGTCGTGTCAATCTGAAAAGTTATGTGTAAGGCAACAATGGCGGATATAGAAATCTATCAAGGGTCGGGCGCAGCGTTGTTATAGTAGCATGTTTAGGAAGATGTTCGTCTCGGGGGAAGGGTTAGCAGCGTTTAAATTTTGAAGAGAAGGGAGAGGGGTGGTGGCTGCATGCTTAGCACTTACGCAGCGTCTCTTGAGAGGTAATGTTCTTGTAACAGAATTGAAAAGCGGGGATGGTAATTTTACACTGAGATACAGCAATATATACCATTTTCTTAAAAAAAAAATATCAGATTTGGCAGTTGCTCCCCGCGCTCCTCTAAATCCGTCATTGGAAGGCAACCGCTTGATTTTTATGTCAAAGTTCCAGAGAGCAGAAAATTTTATATTCAAACGTGTAACCTTGAAGATGATGGTCAAGGTCACCTTTGGGTGAGCTCACAACTTTCCTGTAGAACATTTTTGCTGGAGCAAATTGTTTTCCATGTCTTGATTTGACCTTGAA